TGCACACTACCATTCTTTTTGGTGACTACTATTTTATTTGTGTTGGGTTGTGCCATCATTCCAACCCTATTCATATAACTTCTATTTTCTAGTAAGATCATGCCTTCATTCTAACCCTACCCATATAATTTCTCTTTTTCAGTAAGGTTGTGCCATCATTCCGATCTCTTTTCAATAGGGTCGTGCTGTCAATCCGTCCTTTCCTATATAATTTTTATTTTCAAGTTGGATCGTGCCCTCATTTCGATCCTACTCATATAATGTTGTTTCTTAGATTGTGACCACTTTTAGCCATCAAATCTAATACTCCGGCGTATGAGTATGTTCAGGTCAGTTTTGCTACTTTTTTTTTTATATTGACTCGTCTATTTCCATATTGTTTATACTATATTTTGAGCACTTTTCGACGACCGTTGCATTGTGAATAATCTAAATAGAGCAACCACCTAATTTTGTTGCTAAGAGGAAGTTTAGTAGCCTGATATATCGATTACGTAAGTCACTCTATGGTCTGGTAACAAGCTTGGTTTGGAAAGTTCAATACAGTCTTATCACTTTGTGTTTTATCAACATTATACATTAAATTCAATATTTTATGAGAAGACCAAGCACATTGAGATTGACTGACAATATGCATCAAATTCAGTATTTCATGAGAAAACTAATCACATGGAGTGTTAGAATAGTAATAGGTATATACAATCTTACTTTAGAACAAGAATAGGAATAGGAATAGTCATAGTTACAGTTATAGAATAGGAATAGTAAATAGTATCTTACTTGGTAAAGGATTGCATTGTAGTGTCTATAAATAAGGTCTGCGTAATAATGTAGATAGACAATTCAATAATATTTTTCTCACAATACTGTCATCAACTCCTGCTAACTGTCTTGGATGAGGAAGCATTGGTAACTTAAAGACCAAGACATCAAAATGATAGTTCTCATAAAAGAACAATTGACATGGATCAGCATCAAAGCTTCTTACTATAGAGGCATTAAAATCCCAAGAAGTTACATTGGCAGGTTCCGTAAAAAAGAGACTTGTCATGGGATTCCAGGACATACAATACCATATATAGTCAAATGTTAATAGGTAAGTTCAGAAAGAAATAGTCTAGAACAGTTATGGTTTATTTAATTCCATACATAAGATAGGTGGAATGTCTGAACCATGAAATGTCTGCTGTCGGGAAAGAAAAAGCTGATTTCAAATTGAATACGAACCTTTAGGAATGACTCTCCAGCCAATTTTGCTTGTTTGATTCCTTCGGGAGTCAACTTATATTGTTCAAGTTTTCCATTTTCCTGTAAAGTTGACAGCTCCTTAGATTTAACAAGGGAAAGAATAATTTCAGCCAACTCTGAAACCTCCCAAGGATTAGATTCTGTTACAGCTAGCTAGTTTTCCCATTACCAGATTAAACTGTGAATGTTTCTAATTGTTGTTAAATGAGACTTGTTATGAAGTACATATGGAGTTGTAGTTAGATGTATGCAAAGTGGGGAAGAGATAGTACATCATATTGAAAGATAATTTAAGAACAAAAAGAAGGGTGAGACCAGTAACCACATTCTAGAGGGAAGGCTGAAAGTTTTGAGTCGAAGTTGTATAGAAAACAGTCTTGCTGAAAGTGGGAGTGACAACAGCACAGTTACCGGTTGCTGAATGCATATTTATATTATATGAAAAGAAAAAGCTAAATCAGGTAGAAAAGAAGGGAAAAGGAATTAAACCATGGAGGAAACGACGAGACCCATTTCATTGGGAATGCTTTTGCCATGCCTCACCGCCCAATATCTGTTGTGCACAAACGTAACGCCGCCCATTCTTCACCACAACCAATTGAGTGGGAGTTATGTTATTTAATTATATATAATATAATAATAAGGAGAGAAACCATCCCGCACGGCGTCGTTTTCTTCTCTCAATGTACAATAAACTATGCACAATGAACTAGCTAAGAGGATCCGGGTCAATTATTCTTTCGGCTGTGATGACCCGGAATACAATATGTTTGGCGCAAGGAGATGAGATCTCATCAATCAATCCTCTACAAACTACAAACCCCTCTCACCCATTTCCTCCTACAAAACAATGGCGTTAAATCTTCGTCAAAAGCAAACTGGTAATTCTCTTTCTCTCTACATCTATCTATGCACTTATACGGAATCTTCTGATAATTAATTGTTGAATTGCAGAGTGTATTACGCGGATGTTAAATCTGAACCAGCCGGTGAACGCCGGTGCCACTGCCAATGAGGAGGTATACAAGATCCTCATTTACGATCGATTCTGCCAAGACATTTTGTCCCCTTTAATTCACGTCAAGGACCTCCGTAAACACGGCGTTACCCTCTACTTCCTTATCGACAAGGATCGCAAACCCGTCCATGATGTTCCTGCTCTCTACTTCGTCCAACCCACCCATCTTAATGTACAGCGTATCGTTGCTGATGCCTCCAAGTCTCTTTACGATTCCTTCCATTTGAACTTCTCCTCTTCTGTTCCCAGGCCCTTGCTCGAAGATCTCGCTTCAGGTGCAGTATTATATGCCTTCTCCATCACTATTTTCATTTTTTTTTTTGTCTGTCAAAACTTTATGGTTGAAATGATAGCTGATACTGAAAGGAAATGTACCCAAATAGAGGGATGAGCAATATTGAGTACTGTTTTACTCACCCTACTTGTCCAATTTTTCCTCAAAGGGGGTTAAGGGCTAAAATGATTTACTACTTCAATCCATTTTCAAAAAAAAGATAAATTTTTTTCCCACTGCATAAAGTGGTGCTTAGATCTGACAATTGATTGATTTAAACTTGAAACAATTAATAGTTAATGCAATTCTCTCGGTGGATATTTGAAATATTAACCACTGCATGACTTGTTTCTGCTCCAGGCACAATTAATTCTGACTCGATTGAAAGGATCTCTAAAGTGCATGATCAGTACTTGGAGTTTGTCACGCTGGAGGATAATTTGTTCTCACTTGCCTACAAGAACTGTTATCTTCAACTGAATGATCCCTCTGCTGGGGATAAAGAAATTGAAGAGATCATTGAAAAGATTGTCAGTGGCTTATTTTGTGTGTTGGCTACTCTTGCTGTTGTCCCTATCATCAGGTGTCCCCGTGGTGGACCTGCTGAGATGGTGGCATCCCTGTTGGATCAGCGTTTGAGAGACCATCTGTTAGCTAAAAACAATTTATTCTCTGAGGCTGGGAATTTCACTAGCTCGTTTCAGAGGCCAATTTTGTGTTTATTTGATAGAAACTTTGAGCTGTCAGTAGCTATACAACATGATTTTAGGTATAGACCACTTGTTCATGATGTGCTTGGTTTGAGATTGAACAGGTTGAGTGTGCAGGGAGAGAAAGGTGGGATGAAATCATTTGAGTTGGACAGATCTGATCCATTTTGGGTGGCAAATTGGTCGTTGGTGTTTCCAGAGGTTGCTATGGAGATAGAAGCTCAGTTGAAAAAGTATAAGCAGGATGTGGAGGAGGTAAATAAACGAACTGGTGGGAATCCAGGGGCTGAGTTTGATGGGACAGACTTGGTTGGCAATACCAAGCATTTGATGAATGCAGTAAATTCCCTGCCTGAGTTGACAGAGAGAAAACAAGTCATTGATAAGCACACGAATATTGCTACAGCATTGTTAGGTGAGATCAAGGAGAGGTCCCTTGATTCGTATGCCAAAAAGGAGAATGATATGATGGTAAGAGGTGTCATTGATCGCAGTGAGCTCATTGGAGCTCTCAAGGGCAAAGGGACTAAGGTGGATAAGCTGCGGTTCGCTATCATGTATCTTATCTCGACTGAAAGTTTACCTCAATCAGAAGTTGAAATGATTGAAACAGCACTTAGGGAGTCTGAGGTTGATACCACAGCATTTCAGTATGTAAAGAAGATAAAATCATTGAATGTCTCTTTAGCATCAGCAAATTCTGCGAGTAGGAGCAACATTGTTGATTGGGCTGAAAAGCTCTATGGGCAATCAATCAGTGCTGTAACAGCAGGTGTTAAAAATCTATTATCCAGTGATCATCAGTTGGCTTTGTCAAGAACAGTAGAAGCATTAATGGAGGGGAAACCCAATCCAGAAATTGATTCTTATATTATTTTTGATCCTCGTGCACCCAAGTCAAACTCCGGGATGAGTAGCAGTCATCTGAAAGGACCATTTAAAGAAGCTATTGTCTTTATGATAGGTGGTGGTAACTATGTGGAGTATGGAAGTTTACAAGAGCTAGCCAATCGTCAACAGCCAGTTAAGCATGTTATATATGGGACGACAGAAATTCTTACAGGAGGCGAGTTCATCGAGCAGCTTGCACTGCTGGGGCAGAAGATGGGATTGGGAACTAGTGTCGCAACACCAGCCCATTAATGCAGTTGCCATTTGTGTCAATCCCTGAAGGAAACCCTTTGTTGTTCAGTATTAACTGTGTGCACTTTATCAGTCTACATGAGCAAATCATACACTTGAACGTAATAGTATGATGAGTTATCAGAGAAGAGTTTGTTGACCCTATTCTTTATAGCACTCCTACATTGTGATATTGACTCTGATGCATCGTGATGGTTAAAATGTAGAAGAATTTCTATATAAGTTCAAACTTCTGTGGAGTTGGTTTATAACCGTTGTTCTTTAGTTGATGAAATTGGAACTGTTTGCATCACTGTCCAAGGTGGTTTCTTTGTATTCTTTATTTCCTTCAGTTTTGTGGTAGATTAAGTAGCTTTTCTCGTGCCTGATATTGTCTATCTTATTTGCTTGGACACACTCAGTCAGAACATGTTATACTGTTTTCTTTGTAAAGCTGGATGATTGGCACAGCTTGACTTCAAAACTTAAATATGCATGCACTGCTGGCTTTTCAAAATCAGTATTCTGGAAGAGCCGAGGAACAACTTAAAATGCAGTAATAGATGCCTGCTTTCTGTTTGATCGCAATTTTGCTGGCAGTTTGTTTTACTTTTCATAGTGAAATGCATTCAATTACTTGATATTTTTACATTGTTAATAGCTGCTTCTTTGCACTAGTTTATCACGCGTTGCGTAGGAAATGATTTTCATGGGAAAAGAAATGCATTTCGAGGAATAGAAATTTGTTATCTGCAAAAGGAAATAACAGTAATAAAATCTATACTCAAAATCTTTTTTCCCATACTATGGCAGTGGCAGTAATTTGTTTTACTAATATTTCATTCTACCAAAATAAATAAAAAATCAATCAACTTGCACACGGAGCATGAACCGCGTTAAGTAGATTATTAATTGGAACCTACTCTCTACCATGTTAACCTGCTACAATCATTTAATAATGGGAAGAGATTATAATACAGAGACACTAGTACTAGTTAACAATATAGAAAAATATTGTAATGGAGAAAAATAATACTATGCATTATTATTGTTAATTATAAAGAAATCAGATAATCTAGATTAATTAATTAAATAGAGGGCTAATAGCTGTATAATATATATATACTATCAATCATTATTACAGAAAAGAACAAAGGAGACAAGTGTTGCAGTTGCAATGGCAAATTTTGAGGGCAGAAAAAAGGAGGTGATAGCAATAATTGGAGGTGGAATCAGCGGCCTCCTAGCGTGCAAATACTGCATTTCCAAAGGATTTGATCCAATTTTGTTCGAGTCAAAGAGTAGCATTGGGGGTGTTTGGACTAAGACAATTGGGAGCACTAAGCTGCAGACACCAAAACCCGTATACCAGTTTTCTGATTTTCCATGGCCCGATTCAGTTAACCAAGTGTTTCCTGACCAACAAATGGTGCTTGAGTACATTGAATCGTACGCACGTCACTTTGATTTGTTTAGCCACATTCACTTCAACAGCAAAGTGTTGAGCCTCAACTTTGAAGATGGCGGCAGTGGAGACGGAGAATGGAATTTGTGGGGCGAGGCTTATAGTTATAGCAATAAAGGGAAGTGGAAAGTCACTGTACAGGACACTCGAGCCATATCCCCACAGATACAGGTAATTATGGAAGGAACATCTCTCAATGTAAGCAAAATTTAGTGTTTTATGGAAGAAAAAGTCATTTCAACTTTCACTTGCTAATAATCATGTCTTGGAAAGCCAAAAAGGTAAGAAAAAATTCTCCCAATTTTGACTCTTCTTTCCCATACATACAACTTCCTTTTTGTTCTCTGTTTTATTTGTTTCAACTTATATTTTGAATCTAACCCCCCAAAAAAAAAATTGATGCCCGCTTAAATGTTCTTTCTTCCTGCCTACATCAAGCAAAAAGAAAATGGCGAACACAAAAGCATACCATAGATTTAAAAAAATTGCTTGAGATGAGTTCAGGTGTATCGTCTAGAAGATTTATTACTAATAGTTTATAGAAATTATCTACTTGTGAGTATTAATTTTGCATGCAGATATACCAAGTTGATTTCGTAGTAGTTTGTGTGGGAAGGTTCAGTCAAGTCCCAAACATGCCTGAATTCCCTCAAAACAAAGGCCCTGAAGTTTTTGAGGGTGAAGTAGTCCATTCGATGGATTATTCAATGATGGACTCCTCAACTGCAACCAACTTTGTCAAAGGAAAACAAGTTGCCGTCGTAGGATTCCAAAAATCAGGAATGGACATTGCCATGGAGTGCTCCACAGTTAATGGTAAGTTAATTCTACCTCTTTCTCTAGCTAGAGGCGCTGTTGCTTCTTGCACTAGTAATGTATTAAAGTTATGTAATGCTTATGTAGGGGTTGAACGTCCATGCACAGTACTAATCAGGACACCACATTGGAACCTTCCCGATTATTTCCCATGGGGACTCAATTTGGGATATCTGTTCCTAAATCGATTCTCTGAACTTATGGTTCATAAACCTGGTGAAGGCTTTCTTCTAAGTCTCCTCGCCACAATTCTTTCACCATTAGTAATTATTTTTCTTTCCTCGCTCATTAATTTGAATTCTCTTCCTCTCACAGAACTAATGTGCATGCATATATTTTGACAGAGGTGGGCCTTTACAAAATATATAGAAAGTTACATAAAACACAAACACCAGCTTGCAAAACATGGAATGGTGCCAGAGCATAGTTTCTTAAACGAATTGAGTTCCTGTTCAGTTTCTTTAGTGCCAGAGGGCTTCTATGAGAGAGTAGAGGAAGGAAGTATCAAGCTCATCAAGAAAGCAGAGAGTTTTGGATTCTCAAAAGAAGGTATTGTGCTCGACGGTCATGCTACTGAACCCATTAAAGCCGACGTAGTCATACTAGCTACTGGCTTCAATGGACTTGATTATCTCAAGCATATTTTTGAATCGACAAAATATCAGGAATTCATAGCAGGCTCAGATGATTCTGCTGCAGTTCCCCTCTATAGGTGAGTGAGTACTTTTGGTCTGGATGCTCCAAAATTATTATACATATATATCTCATATGGAAATAATTATATTTATCAGGGAATGCATTCATCCCCGGATTCAACAACTGGCAATAATTGGATTCTCAGAAAGCGTATCTAATCTACACACCTCGGAAATAAGGTGTCGATGGCTGGGAGAGCTTCTTGATGGAAAATTTAAGCTACCAAGCATTAAGGTGATGGAGAAAGAGATAGCAGAATGGGATAAATACAAGAAGAGATATTCATATAACAAGTACTACAGGAGATCATGCATTGGTGCATTGCACATTTGGTACAATGACCAACTATGCAAGGACATGGGATGGAACCCTAAAAGGAAAACGGCTTTTGGGCTGAGTGGTTCCAACCTTACGGCCCAATGGATTACATCGGCTAATGTATGTTAAAGAGCTCCAAAACCTCCCATCTTGAAATTTCTTTTTCTAAATATGTTTTCTTTTACTGAACCTTTGTGCAATAAAGGGTAGCATGCTACTACTCTTTCCAGTTCAAAAGGAATGTCTTCTGAGAGTAACAAAAAGTGCTTTGATATATGCACAAAACTTTTCCTCAACGAGGACAAAGTTCATTTCTAAAAAGATGTTCAAATTTTTATTCTCCTCCATTACCTAATTAGTACGATGACAAATGTTTTACAGTTCACATTTCTAACTCCCCTATCCTATATACTTGTAGCGGAAAGTAGCAATAAAATTAAGAAAGTGGAAACTAATTACTTGGAAAAATTCCTCCACAACTCGCTCCATTGTATTGTTTGGCCCCAGAGATGGCTATGCTTATTATAATTTGTATATTCTAACAATTTGGTTCTTTATTGACTTGATTTTGTTTTTCTAATCCTAAGGGAGTTGCAGGCAGGCTTGGCTTGGCTTGGCTTATATCTTACCACGATGCTCTCAATTGAGTAATTATATGGTTAGTTGGTATTGGGCATTGCCCACAATGGCCAAGTACAATTTGATTACAACAAATATTAGTATAAAGTCAAATGTATAGACAAAAATTTTCAAATGCGGGCACCATTTCTATATAACCGTTTTTCAAATGGAACTGTGGTTTCTAACCAAACAAAGTAAGTATATATTATCAGTCACATGTTAAAAAAGTAACTGAGGATTGCGTGTTCTGATTAAGTAATGCAGCTCATCCTTCCATATATTTACTAAAAGTAGTTGGTATTGAAATAAATTTAGGAATAATTGGACCATGGAAATTGGAATACAAAGATTAATAATAAGCTACTCCCTATATAAAGGGTATAAGCTACTCCCTATTTAAAGGGCAGGGCAATTCAAGCTGTTTATCAGTACGAAATGGCAAATTTTAATGACAGAAAGAAAGAGGTGATAGCCATAATAGGTGCTGGAATCAGCGGACTGTTGGCCTGCAAGTACTGCATTTCTAAAGGATTTGATCCAATTGTGTTTGAGTCAGAGAGTGGCATTGGAGGTGTTTGGAGAAAGACCATTGAGAGCACTAAGCTGCAGACACCAAAATCGTTTTACCAGTTCTCTGATTTCCCCTGGCCTGATTCCGTAACCGAAATGCTCCCTCACCAAAAAACGGTGCTGGAGTACATTGAATCGTACGCAACTCACTTTGATTTGGTCCGACACATTAAGTTCAATAGCAAAGTGTTGAGCCTAAGCTATGAAGATGACAGCAGCTCTGGAGAATGGAATTTGTGTAAAGGCAAGTGGAACGTCACCGTACAGCACACTTCTACACAGGCAAGTACAACGCTTAATTACCAAATTAAGAAAATTTCGACCTAAACACTTTTACTTTTTACTTGTGAAAACGAGATGTATAGAAAGAAATATTGAAATTTTTTTGTTGCATGCAGGTATACCAAGTTGATTTTGTAGTAGTTTGCTTGGGAAGGTTCAGCCAGCTCCCAAACATGCCTGAATTTCGTCCAAACAATGGACCTGAAGCTTTTGAGGGGCAAGTAATCCATTCAATGGACCATTCCAAGATGGACACCAAAACTGCAACCAACTTTGTCAAAGGAAAACAAGTAGCCGTTGTTGGATTTCAGAGATCAGGAATGGACATTGCAATGGAGTGCTCTACCGTTAATGGTAAGTAACTGTTAGTTGTTAGGCCTATCACATCTAAAAGTTTACGCTTTTATTATTTAATTATATATTGCAGGGGTTGAACGTCCATGCACGGTACTAATCAGGACCCCGCATTGGAACCTTCCAGATTTTTCCCCATGGGGACTTAATTTGGGATATCTCTACTTAAGTCGATTCTCCGAACTTATGGTGCATAAACCTGGTGAAGGCCTTCTTTTAAGTCTCCTCGCCACAACTCTTTCACCATTGGTAACTAACTAAATGCCCCCATATATACACATACACATCTCTGTTTTCTACAAACAAAATTAACGAACAGTATCATTTCACAGAGGTGGGCCTTTTCAAAATATGTAGAAACTTATATAAAACACAAGAATAGGCTTGCAAAATATGGAATGGTGCCAAAGCATAGCTTCTTAAACGAATTGAGTTCGTGTTCAGCTGCTCTAGTTCCAGAAGGCTTCTACGACAGAGTTGAGGAGGGAAGTATAAAGCTTATCAAGAAAGCAGACTGCTTTGGATTTTCTAAAGAAGGTATTGTGCTCGATGGTCAGGCCGAAACAATAAAATCCGACTTAGTCATACTAGCTACCGGCTTCAAAGGAATTGATAAGCTCAAACACATTTTTCTATCAACAAAATATCAAGAATTCATAGCAGGCTCAGATGATTCTGCTACCGTTCCCCTTTATAGGTGAGTAAGAAAAAACAATTACTACTTGTTAGAATACTTGCGTCCAATATCAGTCAACGGTCCAGGTCCCTTGACACACTCGAAGTAAGAACAAAGAGTAAGAAAACACAAAAAATAGCACAAGCAGTTTACCTGGTAACCTCATTGCTCAAGGGAGTAAAACCACGACCTGTCACACAGAATTTTCAACCGTTTTCACTAATCTTTCTCAAGCAAAAGTGAAATCAGATTACAACAACGTGAGAAAAAGTTATTTATCTCGCAACCAAGCAATAACTCTACTGCTTGAAGAGCTTAAGCAAATTTCACTTTGCCCACTAAGCTATCACCACTAGATAACTTAGTATTCAAACAAGCAACACAAACGGCTGCCCACTAAATCACCATATTTCGGATGACTTAGGATTTTTACTAAGCAACACACAAGGTTGCCCACTAAATCAGTTGGACTTAACTAACTTAGACTTTTCAGCAAACTAAGAGATCTGAATCCTTTATAATTTGAGGAACAAATTTACAATATTCGTTCAGAAGAAATAATTCTAAGACAACTAAACTTCTAGCTCTTTCAGATTCGAGTTGATCTTGCATATGTTTTTTCACTCCTTTTGTGAGCTTTTGCAAGAGTTCTTGAGATGTTTTCAAGTTGCAAAAACTAAGATTGTGACTATTGGATGTTATGTTTATGTAGAATAGTCACAATCCTTAAAGCAATGACATTGGCTGAGGTTCTGCCGCGTCTGCCACTTCTGCCACTGTTGGAGACTGTGCACCAATTTTTTGTACTTTCTCCAACCTGGCAGTGAGAAGTGTGTCGATCCACGGACTAGGTCCCTCCACAAGGTCCTTGGGTTTGTCTTGTCATCAGTTGAAGATTGTGCACCAACCACTTGTACTTTTTCTAGTTTGGCAATGGAGTGTTTATAACACAACGAACCAAGTCCCTTCATAAGGTCCCTGGGTTTGTCAAATCATCAAAACTACAAATAAAATTTTCCTCTTTTTTGATGATTACAAGTTGTACACCAATGCCTACAAGTTCTTCCATGTTTCCTTCCCCCTATCGATAAAGACCTAACAGTTACATGTACATTTGCACAATGGATCAGGTGGTCTCTGGGTTTGTCAAATCATCAAACTACAAATAACACTACTACTACTACTTTTGCAAGCATATATATTTACATGTCATCTCTCTCAGGGAATGCATTCATCCCCGGATTCCACAAGTTGCAATAATTGGTTTCTCAGAAAGCCTAGCTAATCTATACACATCGGAAATAAGGTGTCGGTGGCTGGCAGAACTCCTTGATGGAAAATTCAGGCTACCTAGCGTAAAGATGATGGAGAAAGACATAGCAGAGTGGGATAAATACAAGAAGAGCTATTCTTATAGCAAGTACTACAGGAGATCGTGTGTGGCAGCATTGCATGTTTGGCACAATGACCAACTTTGCAAGGACATGGGATGGAACCCAAAGAGGAAGAAGGGCTTTTGGGCTGAGTGGTTCCAACCTTATGGACCAATGGATTACTAATAATACTCCAGGCTCTCTGTATTTCAATAATAAAGAATGAACATGCATTGCATCTATATGCAAGTCATGATATTGTAAAATAATAAGTATCAACATTAATAAAATAAAGCTTTGAATAAAATTAAAGCAATACTAGTTTTCCTTGTTAGTCATGCTAATTTGGGAATAGTAATTGTTCAAATGTCATGGTACTGAACTGATTAAACAAGAATCGGGACTCCTTTGGAATTTTTTTAAAAAAATTCCTGTAGATCTATCAATTTTATTATCTCATTGTTAACCGTTAACATTGAAAATAGATAACAAATAACCAAAATTCGATGCAAATCAAGTTATAGAGGATAAATGAAACTGAATCTAAATTGATGCAAAAAGTAAGATGAGCAAACAACTAATTTAATTGCAAAACGGAAAAGCACTTTTAATTTTAAGCGGTTATTAATCAAAACTAAGGAATACTTAGAATAAGATTTTTAAAAAAATTCAGTGGATGAATATAATATGACAAAGAAGGGAAAGTAAATTTAGAAACGAAAGTGTTTGGAAAATAAAGATGGATACGTCATTTCTATTTACAGGATGTGATAGAAAATATGAATTACTCCACAAAAGTAGCTAATGGATATAGACAAGTAATTATAAGATGCCCCTTCATATCAATTATATTGACTATGTTGATATTGCGTCTAAATTCACTCATCTAATCATCATCATATATATCTTCATATCATATATTATATATTACTAAAAGTATGAGAAAAAAATTAAAAGTTAAATTATGATTTTATTTTTTTTATAAATTAAATTATTATAAATTATTTTTAAAAATAATTGAATAAATTTAATTAAAATATTAATGACTTTTAGACTTTTCAAGATTAATTTTTAATTAAATATCTAATTAATTCTTATTTATCATCTATAATTTATATGTATATAATAATTATAATTTTTTTAAAAAAAATGATCTCTACCTAAATTGCTATATTTTTCCTCTTCTCATAACTTTTTTCTTAACCCCTCTCATGAATAATATAATTTATGTGGATAAAGTATTAAATAACAAAATTTAATAATTTAAAGGATGCAAATCTGCAAAATTGAGACACACATTGATACTGTCCTCTTGACTATTATTGAAGAATGATTATATCTTCACAAATTTAAATTCATTAATGCTTAATTATCTGATAAGAACTTTAGTTGTTCTTTCTACATGGTTTGCTCATTTTAATTTTCTTTTTCATATTTTCATTTATATATTATTATTTGTTAATTACTTATTCAACTTTTATACTCTTAATATCCATAACTCTCATCTTTTCACATTCATAACCTCCAAATATTTAAACTAAAGTTTTAAGATATCTTTTGATATTCCTTCTATTCTATTTAAATATATTCAACTTCTTTATCTCATGAAACTCATACAAAAATTATAATGCTATCATTTTTATTCTATAGTTAAAGTAGATGAAGAAGCCTTTTGAATTTTGATAGGATATGAAAGGAGTTGATAAGAACTCCGAGAGATATGTATTAATTTTGTACTTATTTTTTATTTATACATACACCAGTATGTCTACATTGTATTTTTTCTTAAATTTCTTTCTTTTTGTCTTTTTTTTTTCTCCATTAAACTTTTTTATTTAGTTTTCTATGAATGTTTTATTGTGTAAGTCTTTATTCTTATTACATTTTGTTATTCATTACAATTTACATATATATTTTCATAAAATTTTAGTCATTCTAACCTATCTATAAAAATTCACATGATATATAGTAGTACAAGTAGAAGATAGCGAGTGTATTGTTGCTTGTACCAAATGGGTAGCAGAAAAAAGGAGGTTATAGCAATAATTGGTGGAATAGGCGTCCTGTTGGCTTGCAAAATATGCAATCACCTAAGGATTTGATCCAATTGTGTTTGAGTAGCATTGGAGTGAGAGTATTGAGAGTACTTGCAAAGTTGCAGACACCAAAACCCCTCTCTGGCCCGATTCTGTAGCTGAAGCCATCAAACGGTGCATTGAATCATACGCACGCCACTTTGATTTGCTTCGCCACATTCAATTCAATAGCAAAGTGTTGAGCCTCAGCTATGAAGTGGAGACAATTGAGTAGCTCAAGCTGATGGTGCCAGAGTTGAGGAAGGAAGTATCAAGCAAAGAGTTTTGGATTTACTAAACAAGGCATCGTGGTTGAGGGTCAGGCTGAAACAATAAAATCGGACTTACTCATAAATAATAACAAAAACATTTTACGTCCGAAAATCTTGTGAATATCGGGAAATTCATGGGTAGGGAGGAGCAAAGTAATCTATGATAATAAAGAATTTTAGAGTGAATAAATTTAGGGTGTGTTTTGCACGATTTAAAAAAATGGTTTTCTTAGAAAATAAGTGGATATTAAAGTTATTTTCTCATGTTTAGTTGATGAGTAGAATATATTTTTAGAGTTTTAACATTTGCTTAATGAATAAAAAATACTATTTAGATTTATTTATTTATTTTTGGCTTGAGAATAAAAACAACTCTTTGAAAAAATATTTTTGATTCGAAAATCAACCCCGATAATTAATCCTAGACCCAACATCGACACTTAAACTAGAACAAAACTCCGATGACCGTTCCAAAATCTGACCTTGAGATCTAACCCAGAGCCTGTCTCTGTAAAATAAATCCAAAGAAATGATTCTTAAAAAAAATTGACAGGGTTGGAAGGGAAGAGATGGGGAAGGAGTGGCGTAAAAAATAAAAAAATTAAATTTGAAATATTTATCAAAAGTAATTTTTTTTGGTTTCGAGGGTGGAGGTTAGGGGTTAAAATCTTAAAATTTTGAAATATTTTTCAAAAATAAATTTAAAATTTTTTGTTTGGAGTGGGGGGATGAGGCTGATTTTGGAATAGGGATATATATATATATATATATATATATATATATATATATATATATATATATATATATATGTTTGTAATTTATCAAATAAGAAAATTAAAAAAAAAAGATAATTATTAATTTTTTGAATGGAGAGAGTCGAATATGTGATATGGTTAGATTTCAGTTGTGGTCCCTAACCTCGTCTTTACTTGAAGTTCTGAATCAAATACTGAACTAATAATATGTTTATGCTATATATATGAATGGGTTAGGTTCTTTCATGATGAAGAACTCACATTTGGGTGGAACAACATCTTGGATTTAGTCCTTATATATAGCTAGCTCGAGCAATTCTCTATCTTTTGAACTAATTCATGAGATTAAGCTAAATATAAAATCATTTATTTAACATATCTCGTTAAAATTCATTATTCAATTCATGTTTTTTTTTTACATGTTGAACCAGCAGTTTTTATATAAGAGAAAATATCTCATTTCAATTAACAATCGTATAGATTGACATTTGATACTGATTTGTAGAAAATATAAAGCACTGAGACAGAGATGTAGAAATATCTTGGCATGATCTAAATTCTCATGTAGGGATGTAAACTGGGCAAGTCGCTTTGATTTTTCTTCCATCTTCATCTAATTCAACTTTGTCAAGTACTTCATTTCATCATCTCTTTATTAATCCACAAAATCCCAACATACTTATAAATTTGATCGATTTTTATGAAAACTAGAAAGTTTCTCGATTCAGTGAAATAAGGTGTCGATGGGTCGCAGAATTTCTTGATGGAAAGTTTAAGGTGCCAAGCGTTGATAAATACAAGAAGTACTACAGGAGATCGTGTGTCGCAATGACCAACTTTGCAAGGAACCCAAAGAGGAAAAAGGGGGTTTGGGCTGAGTGGTTCCAACCTTATGGATTACACCGGCTAATATAAAAGAGGGAGCCTCCCATCTCATCAGTATTCATTTTAGGAATGCACCTGTGATTTGAACCAATTAATTGCTGGTTATACAACCGCAAGGCCACCCCATATCCTCTGACATTGTCTTTTTTCTTTTCGTTCCCCCTATTGGGACTCTAGTAAGATGCCCCGAGGATTAAGTTTGGGCTTAGGTTTAGGTTTGTACAAACACAAGTACTGAGTAAATATCATCGGCCAACTCAAAATAGAAATCAATATATACCAAGTAATATCATAAATCAACTATGATACTCAACATGCAGCAACAACAAGTACTATATCATTAACGATTACCGTCAAGTTCACACATGAGGACTCAAGCCTCAATACCATACTCATTTGAGAATCATGTTCATTAGATTGAGTATATTAACATTTTTCAAGATTCATTATCTTTATTTCTCTTGTGTCGGTACGTGACACTCCGATCCCCTAAATCTACGTGTCGGTTCGTGACACCCGATCCCCTAAATCTACGTGTCGGTTCGTGACACCCGATCCCCTAATTCTACGTGTCAATTCGTGACACTCAATCCCCTAATTCTATGTGTCGGTTCGTGACACCCGATCCCCTAATTCTACGTGTCGGTTTAGGACACTTGATCCCCTAATTCTACGTGTCGGTTCGTGACACCCGATCCCCTAATACTACGTGTCGGTTCGTGACACCCGATCCCCTAATACTACGTGTCGGTTCGTGACACCCGATCCCCTAATACTACGTGTCGGTTCGTGACACCTGATCCCCTAATCTCCTTCTATCAATTCATCAAGCCTTCTTTCTTACCAAGGCATCATCCATCCCCTTATTTTAGTTCATCACGTCTTCTTTTATACCAAGGCCTCATTATTAACAAAGAGATTAGGATTTTGCAAGATTTGGGATTTAATAACTTCATCATGCTTATATAATCACAATTATATAATTACATTCATGCAAGCATACAATTAAGCACAAAGCAGGGTTTACAATATTATCAATACATATCATTCGCTATTAAGAGTTTATTACGAATACCGTAAGAAAAACCATAACCTACCTCCACCGAATATTAGAAATCAAGCAAGCAAATTCCCAAAGCTTTGTTCTTCTTCTCTCCCTGTTCGTTCGTTTTCTCCCTCTCTTGTGCTTTCAAATTTTCTTATTCAAACCCTCTTTCTTTTACCCTAATTAACATATAATTAAGGATAAAAGATGGCAATAATAACCCACTAATTTACTCAAGGTTACCTCTTTTAACCCCCAAGTAATTAGACTCATTAACATAAACCCACTAACTTTATAATTAA